CCAAGCTGCAAACGCCTGCGCAACGCTTCGCCCCAGTGATTGGCGAGCATCATGAGCATCAGCCGGGTAGCTTTCTGGTCACATGCCCTCCCCAAGCTGTGATTGCGCAGATGTGACGAAGCGGGAGGCGAGCATCATGAGCATCAGCCAGGTAGCTTTCTGGTCACATGCCCTCCCCAAGCTGCAAACGCTTGCAAAACGCTTCGCCCCAGTGATTGCACAGATGTGACGAGGCGGGAGGCGAGCATCATGAGCATCAGCCGGGTAGCTTTCTGGTCACATGCCCTCCCCAAGCTGCAAACGCTTGCAAAACGCTTCACCCCAGCGATTGCACAGATGTGACGAGGCGGGAGGCGAGCATCACGTCCCCAAGCTGCAAACGCTTGCAAAACGCTTCGCCCCAGTGATTGCACAGATGTGACGAGGCGGGAGGCGAGCATCACGAGCATCAGCCGGGTAGCTTTTTGGTCACATGCCCTCCCCAAGCTGCAAACGCTTGCAAGACGCTTCGACTCAGTTGTGACGAGGCGGGAGGCGAGCATCATGAGCATCAGCCGGGTAGCTTTCTGGTCACATGCCCTGCCCAAGCTGCAAACGCTTGCAAAATGCTTCGCCCCAGTGATTGCACAGATGTGACGAAGCAGGAGGCGAGCATCATGAGCATCAGCCGGGTAGCTTTCTGGTCACATGCCCTCCCCAAGCTGCAAACGCTTGCAAAACGCTTCGCCCCAGTGATTGCACAGATGTGACGAGGCGGGAGGCGAGCATCATGAGAATCAGCCGGGTGGCTTTCTGGTCACATCCTCCCCAAGCCGCAAACGCTTGCAAAACGCTTCGCCCCAGTGATTGCACAGATGTGACGAGGCGGGAGGCGAGCATCATGAGCATCAGCCGGGTAGCTTTCTGGTCACATGCCCTCCCCAAGCTGCAAACGCTTGCAAAACCCTTCGCCCCAGTGATTGCACAGATGTGACGAGGCGGGAGGCGAGCATCATGAGCATCAGCCGGGTAGCTTTCTGGTCACATGCCCTCCCCAAGCTGCAAACGCTTGCAAAACCCTTCGCCCCAGTGATTGCACAGATGTGACGAGGCGGGAGGCGAGCATCATGAGCATCAGCCGGGTAGCTTTCTGGTCACATGCCCTCCACAAGCTGCAAACACTTGCAAAACCCTTCGCCCCAGTGATTGCACAGATGTGTCGAGGCGGGAGGCGAGCATCATGAGCATCAGCCGAGTAGCTTTCTGGTCACATGCCCTCCCCAAGCTGCAAACCCTTGCAAAACCCTTCGCCCCAGTGATTGCACAGATGTGACGAGGCGGGAGGCGAGCATCATGAGCATCAGCCGGGTAGCTTTCTGGTCACATGACCTCCCCAAGCTGCAAATGCTTGCAAAACCCTTCGCCCCAGTGATTGCGCAGATGTGACGAGGCGGGAGGCGAGCATCATGAGCATCAGCCGGGTAGCTTTCTGGTCACATGCCCTCCCCAACCTGCAAACGCTTGCAAAACCCCTCGCCCCAGTGATTCAGATGTGACGAGGCGGGAGGCGAGCATCATGAGCATCAGCCGGGTAGCTTTCTGGTCACATGCCCTCCCCAAGCTGCAAACGCTTGCAAAACGCGAGAACCATGAGCATCAGCCGGGTAGTATTCTGGTCACATGCCCCCCCCAAGCTGCAAAAGCTTGCAAAACGCTTCGCCCCAGTGATTGCACAGATGTGACGAGCAGGAGGCGAGCATCATGAGCATCAGCCGGGTAGCTTTCTGGTCACATGCCCTCCCCAAGCTGCAAACGCTTGCAAAACGCTTCGCCCCAGTGATTGCGCAGATGTGACGAGGCGGGAGGCGAGCATCATGAGCATCAGCCGGGTAGCTTTCTGGTCACATGCCCTCCCCAAGCTACAAACGCTTGCAAAACGCTTAGCCCCAGTGATTGCACAGATGTGGCGAGGCGGGAGGCGAGCATCATGAGCATCAGCCGGGTAGCTTTCTGGTCACATGCCCTCCCCAAGCTGCAAACGCTTGCAAAACGCTTCACCCCAGTGATTGCACAGATGTGACGAGGCGGGAGGCGAGCATCACGTCCCCAAGCTGCAAATGCTTGCAAAACGCTTCCCCCCAGTGATTGCACAGATGTGACGAGGCGGGAGGCGAGCATCACGAGCATCAGCCGGGTAGCTTTCTGGTCACATGCCCTCCCCAAACTGCAAACGCTTGCAAGACGCTTCGCCCCAGTTGTGACGAGGCGGGAGGCGAGCATCATGAGCATCAGCCGGGTAGCTTTCTGGTCACATGCCCTCCCCAAGCTGCAAACGCTTGCAAAACGCTTCGCCCCAGTGATTGCACAGATGTGACGAGGCAGGAGGCGAGCATCATGAGCATCAGCCGGGTAGCTTTCTGGTCACATGCCCTCCCCAAGCTGCAAGCGCTTGCAAAACGCTTCGCCCAAGTGATTGCACAGATGTGACGAGGCGGGAGGCGAGCATCATGAGCATCAGCCGGGTGGCTTTCTGGTCACATGCCCTCCCCAAGCTGCAAACGCTTGCAAAACGCTTCGCCCCAGTGATTGCACAGATGTGACGAGGCGGGAGGCGAGCATCATGAGCATCAGCCGGGTAGCTTTCTGGTCACACGCCCTCCCCAAGCTGCAAACGCTTGCAAAACGCTTCGCCCCAGTGATTGCACAGATGTGACGAGGCGGGAGGCGAGCATCATGAGCATCATGGTAGCTTTCTGGTCACATGCCCTCCCCAAGCTGCAAACGCTTGCAAAACGCTTCGCCCCAGCGATTGCACAGATGTGACGAGCAGGAGGCGAGCATCATGAGCATCAGCCGGGTAGCTTTCTGGTCACATGCCCTCCCCCAGCTGCAAACGCTTGCAAAACGCTTCGCCCCAGTGATTGCACAGATGTGACGAGGCGGGAGGCGAGCATCATGAGCGTCAGCCGGGTAGCGTTCTGGTCACATGCCCTCCCCAAGCTGCAAACGCTTGCAAAACGCCTCGCCCCAGTGATGGCGCAGATGTGACGAGGCGGAAGACGAGCATCATGAGCATCAGCCGGGTAGCTTTCTGGTCACATGCCCTCCCCAAGCTGCAAACGCTTGCAAGACGCTTCGCCCCAGTGATTGCACAGATGTGACGAGGCAGGAGGCGAGCATCATGACAATCAGCCGGGTAGCTTTCTGGTCACATGCCCTCCCCAAGCTGCAAACGCTTGCAAAACGCTTCGCCCCAGTGATTGCACAGATGTGACGAGGCGGGAGGCGAGCATCACGAGCATCAGCCGGGTAGCTTTTTGGTCACATGCCCTCCCCAAGCTGCAAACGCTTGCAAGACGCTTCGACTCAGTTGTGACGAGGCGGGAGGCGAGCATCATGAGCATCAGCCGGGTAGCTTTCTGGTCACATGCCCTGCCCAAGCTGCAAACGCTTGCAAAATGCTTCGCCCCAGTGATTGCACAGATGTGACGAAGCAGGAGGCGAGCATCATGAGCATCAGCCGGGTAGCTTTCTGGTCACATGCCCTCCCCAAGCTGCAAACGCTTGCAAAACGCTTCGCCCCAGTGATTGCACAGATGTGACGAGGCGGGAGGCGAGCATCATGAGAATCAGCCGGGTGGCTTTCTGGTCACATCCTCCCCAAGCCGCAAACGCTTGCAAAACGCTTCGCCCCAGTGATTGCACAGATGTGACGAGGCGGGAGGCGAGCATCATGAGCATCAGCCGGGTAGCTTTCTGGTCCCCCCAAGCTGCAAACACTTGCGAAACGCTTCGCACCAGTGATTGCACAAATGTGACGAGGCGGGAGGCGAGCATCATGAGCATCAGCCGGGTAGCTTTCTGGTCACATGCCCTCCCCAAGCTGCAAACTCTTGCAAAACGCTTCGCCCCAGTGATTGCACAGATGTGACGAGGGGGAGGCGAGCATCATGAGCATCATGGTAGCTTTCTGGTCACATGCCCTCCCCAAGCTGCAAACGCTTGCAAAACGCTTCGCCCCAGTGATTGCACAGATGTGACGAGGCGGGAGGCGAGCATCATGAGCATCAGCCGGGTACCTTTCTGGTCACATGCCCTCCCCAAGCTGCAAACGCTTGCAAAACGCTTCGCCCCAGTGATTGCACAGATGTGACGAGGCGGGAGGCGAGCATCATGACCATCAGCCGGGTAGCTTTCTGGTCACATGCCCTCCCCAAGCTGCAAACGCTTGCAAAACGCTTCGCCCCAGTGATTGCACAGATGTGACGAGGCGGGAGGCGAGCATCACGTCCCCAAGCTGCAAACGCTTGCAAAATGCTTCGCCCCAGTGATTGCACAGATGTGACGAGGCGGGAGGCGAGCATCACGAGCATCAGCCGGGTAGCTTTCTGGTCACATGCCCTCCCCAAGCTGCAAACGCTTGCAAAACGCTTCGCCCCAGTGATTGCACAGATGTGACGAGGCGGGAGGCGAGCATCATGAGCATCAGCCGGGTAGCTTTCTGGTCACATGCCGGCGGGAGGCGAGCATCATGAGCATCGGCCGGGTAGCTTTCTGGTCACATGCCCTCCCCAAGCTGCAAACGCTTGCAAAACGCTTCGCCCCAGTGATTGCACAGATGTGACGAGGCGGGAGGCGAGCATCATGAGCATCGGCCGGGTAGCTTTCTGGTCACATGCCCTCCCCAAGCTGCAAACACTTGCAAAACGCTTCGCCCCAGTGATTGCACAGACGCGACGAGGCGGGAGGCGAGCATCACATGAGCATCGGCCGGGTAGCTTTCTGGTCACATGCCCTCCCCAAGCTGCAAACGCTTGCACAACGCTTCGCCCCAGTGATTGCACAGACGCGACGAGGCGGGAGGCGAGCATCATGACCATCAGCCGGGTAGCTTTCTGGTCACATGCCCTCCCCAAGCTGCAAACGCTTGCAAAACGCTTCGCCCCAGTGATTGCACAGATGTGACGAGGCGGGAGGCGAGCATCATGAGCATCAGCCAGGTAGCTTTCTGGATCCTAAGCTCATGAACCCCACTTTTCCTGTATCTGCAAACGAAAATGAAACCCCTGGAGCAGGGAAGAGGCCTCCGGCAGCAGCGGCCAGAGCGGCCCCTGAAGTGCGCTGGGAGGCTCCGAGGTGAGAACACACCTGGGCAAAAGCCCCAAAGCAAAGACTACGGCTGCAGCATTTCTGATCGTGAATCCACGATCGTCTGTGGCACTCTGCTGCTGGGCTTGCGGCCGAAAGTTTGGATGGACGAACTCCTCAATCAGCTCCAATGACCGTTCCAGCTGCTTCAGCCATTCCTGAAGGGACGCCGCTCACACAGCACGTTCTTGCTGGCGCTTGCATGCCTCAAATTTTGATCGTAGCTCTGCAAGGCAAGCCCTGGGCGCTGCCTGCATGAGGTGGATGTTCTGCAGCACCACCCAGTGCCCATCACGTGCGCACTTGTTGATGGCGTTGATGGCAACCTTGTTCGTTGTGAAGGAATTCCGGTTTGCTCAGTTTGCTCTTCCACCGGAGAAAACTGCTCTGGTCACATGAACCAGGAGGTACCAGTAGGTCGACAAGAGCAGCACAGTCCCGGGCGTTCTCTTGTCCCTGGCCCATAGAGATGTTGTGCAGGCTTCCAGCGGCCTGCGAGCAGCGGAGGCACAGGGCAAGACCATGCCAAGAATGTCCAGAAAGCAAGCCTTTACCCGAAACCTCTAAACCCCTAAACTGAACCCTATTCAAAACAAAGTATGTGTGCAAAGTGTACCATATATATATATATAGAGACAGAGAGAAAACTATATCTGTATAGCCCACGGTATGTATCATTAACCAAATATTGCACATGGCCTTCATATTCAATTTATATGTACACATATAGCCCACCAGCTACATCTAAAGCAACCCTTTTCAAGGGTTTGCTATGGAGAGAGCGCTTGGAGGCCCGGACCTGTGTCAGGCCAAGCTCAGCTGCGGCTGCCTCGATGACCGGGGTCGGATCCGTGCCTGAACTGAAGGCTCAAGGGATGCCCTTAAGGGTTTAGGAAGTTTAGGGTTTAGGGTTAAGTTGCTGGTTTTGCGGTTTTTAAAGGGTGTTTCGTGGAAGAAGTACGGGATTGGGGGCCCGCTTTGAGGAGTCCTTTGCAAAAGAACTGATTAGATCCTATGCAAGATCCTTACTGCGAGGGGACGACCCGAGCATTCAACCACCCCAAGTCCCGAATGGTGCCGACTCGCCGACGAGTACCAGCACATCTGCAAAGCAGGTGGAGCTGAGGCCCCAGCCTGGGAACAGGACGAAGAAGATCGGCGTGAGGCACGTCGACTCCTGAAGGCAGCTCTCCCAAGTGCTAAGGGGAACCCCAATGCGATCAGCGGCTTCTTCCCCCACGGCATCCTCATAGACTTGGTGCATGTCGAATGGGCTCTGCTCGACAAACTCCGGGCCTTATGGAGCAATGCGGTTGTGCAGTGTCAGCAGCTGGCCTTTGTCTGAGGCTGACACCCAAGTTATCATGTACGAAGTGTGTGAGCGCAGAGCCTGGTCATTGGCATGCCACCCCTTTTGAACTGTGGCAAAAACACCGATCAAGCGGACATCTGCAACACGATGAGCAGGTCTGAGCAGGTCTTCATTTTTCCAAAGCATTCCGAAGCGGACTCACGGCCGCTGATCTGCCTGGCCTCACAAATTGCTCATCGCTCTTCAACCTTGCCGGCATCCTCCCAACCCCCCCCCCCTCGCCGCCTCGGAAGAGCTGGATCTCCCAGAATGACGCCTTCGTCTGGCTGGCACGCCAGCCTGCAAGGCACCTGCCTCCCCAAGGAACAGCGAGAAGAAAAACGGCCCTGAGTCGAAAAGTGTGGCAGGAAGCGGCTCTGAGGAGTGGGCCAGCTTTCGTCGCAGCAGCACCTCTTGTTGCAGAAACTTTGCCTCAAGGCGTGCTGACGGTGACCCTCGGAGCTCCAAAGCGCTGTGTGATCCACCGGCCTCAGCCGCCTCCGTGTGAGGCCACTCTGACTCCAGAATGAACTCGACTCGCCAGCCCAGCCTGGTTTCTGATGGTTTCTGCGAGAACACGGGCGAAACATGATGCACCATTCTGCCCCTCAACTTGCCAGGCTGTCTGTTCCAGCTGCCGCCTGTGATGAAGAGGCTGTTCTCACAATTTCTCACAACGTTCTCACCCCGTACTGCTGGGCACTGCCAGTCACAGTGGTCAATCACTGCCTTCGCATCTCGACCAGCGGATGCATACAGTTGGATCCTCCCATGAATCAACTTTCCAAGCAGCATGGCCATAGTCCAAGCAAAGGGGTCCAGCCTTCTTCGAGGTCCTGGTCACTTCAGAAACAGAAAGGAATCGAAGGAAGCAGCGGTGCATAAGGTACTAGTGCTTTGTCCTCTAAAAGTCCAGCGGGCTGCAAACACAGCACCACCGTTTTCAAATCAGGGAGGCTGAGTGGAAGCCGCCTCCAGCTACAATCACAAAGTCGCGGAATTGAATGATCTGCACACTCATTGAGAACACAGACTGCTTGAGGGACGGACATGTGCTGCACACGCTTCCCCTGCTCCGGCCTGCATAATGAGAATGACTGCTGTCTGCAGCGCGTACAATTACGATCAAGCGTCAGTCTTCTAACTATCGCCCGTAGAAGACGACTTGTGGTCGTTGGCTTGAACAGGGGTTCGGGGGGGAGAGCGGCGACCCACCCGATGCCCCACGTGCACACCTTTGAGATGCTTGCACTATGAATGTCCTGGGTCATAGTAGTATTCTGTAACCAAACCACATCCTTGCAGGAATCGCAACAATATCTGCAGCAACAGTTGTCCACAATCCTACTATGTCCTGCTGACCTGACTGGGAAAAATTGCTGACGATGCGCATCCCCAACGGAAGCCTTCCGTTCATGCTTTCCCGCAACGCCAGCTCTTTAGACAGCACATTTACATTACACTATTCCCAGATATTCCCCAGATCACACACCCAGGGCCAAGAAGTCTTTTGAACAGGATGGAGAAGGGGAGGCACCTGCACCCCAAACGGCCGAAGGCCGCCGCAACCTCGGCCTCCACCTGAAACAGCAATAGCCCTGTGGAGTCCCCCTGTTGCTAAAATGCTGTACCATATATATATATATATCTATATACATATGTGTGTATGTGCATATATATATATACACATGATTCTATGACCACGACCCTGACTCGTGAAGTGCTCTCATACCGCCCTGTGAGAGGTTCTCCTGCCCTGGCCTCTGCCGAAATCCCCGGCAGTGGCTGGGCGGAGGTCGTCTGGGAGGCCAGCTCCAAGATGGCCTCAAGAGCAGACTTCGTGTTGTTGAGGGATGTTGGGGGTGTTGCACGTAGAGGGTTGTGCATCAGCTTTAGCTTAGCATTGGCCTCTTCTCGAGGAGAAAGCTGCACGTGCCACCAGCGCGGTGGGCTGACAGCCAGGCTTGCTTCAAGACCGTCGAAGTCATACAGGGGAGTTGGGCAAAATCTCCCATCAGCCTGTGCTTCAACAACCAGGCCTCGCAAGCTGTTCAGGATGAAATCTGTGAGAGTCAACCCACACCCGCAAGCATCTGAGCCCTGGGCGATGTCGCACAGAGTGGCTTGAATCTGGCTTGCCCTTGGCTCCTGCACCTCAGGCGCACGGGTTGGCCGGTGAGGAAAGTGGCCCCTCAACAGCTAGCACGTCTCCGAGTGTCGTGCTGTGAAGGCTGGTGAGACAAAGTCGTGCAACACATCTGGCACGCCGACTCCACGAGTTGAGTATGCCACTGCGTCAACGCACTTCACCGCTCAAACGCATCTCTCAAATGCGCATTAAAAATGCCAAGGTTCTTCCCAGTAGCCCTGGCAATCGTCCTTGATGCAGCTTGCTGGCTACATGCATGAGCCGAACAATGTCGGAAGTCGCCCAGAAACTGAAAGCTCAGAAGTCGACGAAAGCCCGGCTCTCTTGTCTGCTCTGCCGGCTCTGCTGGCTCCTGAGGGTAAGGTGGCACCAAGCGGGAGATGTAGTTACATCTTCGGAAACCCACATGACAGTGCATTACATGCGGGAGGTCCAGCAACAACATGGATCGAAGAAGCGGGGCGGCAGCTGCCAGAGGAAGCTTCTTTGGCCTTGCAGTTGCAGCATGGTGCAGTATGTTTGGCATGCGCTGACATTTGCATGGCATGTTGAATGCATGTTGTACCAAACGCAAGTCTGGTGCACCCACCTCAACATCGACAAGGCCTCATCAACCCGCACTGCGGGCACAGGCACCCGGAGTGTCGCAAGCGCCCGTAGCCATACACCGATGGCACCAGCACTGCAGCGCCGCAGTGCACCTGATGCTGCCGAGTTGGAACTTGGAACTCTGCGGGACCCTGCGTAACGTGCAAGGCTGTGGCGCATGAAGGCTCTGCGGTCAAAGTGGGTCTGCTCCCTCCCACCCCCACTCCCGTGAAGCTCCAGCAGCCGAAGGAGCATCCCCAGAGGATTCCAGGAGCCCACAATTCAAGAACCCTCCGGGACTGCGCCACGTCCCACACTGCGTGAGCTCCACCCCATGAGTCTCTATAAGACCTTTGGGACATACTTACTTCGCGGGTCGGTGGTCTCACAGTTGCTCTTGAGCAGCCACTAGGATGATTGCAGAGTTTGGGGCACCGAACTTGGTTGTCTGCGGTTCTTGCACGGCATGAACTTGCAACGGGCACGGGGCGAGGGAAGCCGGGATTTGGCCAACATCTCCAAAACGACAGCTTGAAGAGGTTTCTTGCACTGTTCTTGCGACTCACGGTTTCCGTTGTTGGTTCAAAATGTCCAAGCCTTTTCGTGTGCACGAGACGGACAAAAGGAGAAGCTGGGCCGGTGGCCTCGCGAAGACCAAATTAAGGGATATGAAACATCGTGGAAAACACGGAGTTCTTACTCTACATACCCCTAACACTTGGTCTGGGTGTGGCAAGAAGTAATGGTGCTTTGCTTTCGCTTTGGAAAGCGAAAGCGAACACTTGGTCTGGGTGTGGCAAGAAGTAATGGTGAGAGGAATGAAAACCCTAACCCCAAAGTCTCATGACGTGTGCCCACGCGCCTTGATGCATGCGCTCCATGACAGAGTGCTCCAGGCCAGTGTGCCGCCAGCCTCCCCCGAAGCAAAGCTAACTGAGCGTCTACATTCGGCCATGGTCCCCCAAGGATCCCTTTGGGATCCCTTCGGGCGCCTTTTCGCGCCAGCGAGTCCAGTAGTCCACAGCGCTGGATGGGAGCCAGCGCGCCGAGACTGTGCAGGCAGGCCTTACAAGCATCTTTGGCCCCAAGGCTTCTGGGCAGCTGTTCTACAGCTGTTCTATTGCACAATCATGCCGGGCACCGTATGCGAAGTCGCTCGATGCAAGCCCCGCACTGTCACTCAACTAGCAGCTCTTGAGAATGCAAATTTTGTGATGCTGACTTGCCCACACCCGGGCACCCCCGCCTGTGCCCCCCCACCCCCCCCGTCAACCTCCCTTCCCCGCGTGTGGTACATTTCTTTCAAGGACACCAGCACCGCTTAGCATTCCTGGAGCAGCTCCAGTGCATGCCCAAACACCCGCCCCAACTCCAGCCTTCTCCCCACACCAAAGCCGGGGCCCCCTTGCTCCCCACAGCCAATACCTTATTTGGCTTGTGTTTCCGACCGCGCAGCCAGGAATCTTACATCAACCGTCTGCAGTTCTGAAGATGAGCCTCCACCAATTCGAGTCCGTCCGCACGCGTCAAGTGCTGGGTGCCTCCAGAACAGCTGACACTGACTCGAATCTATATCATGAGATGAGTTTTTGGCCCCGTTTTTGCATCTTCGAGACGAGAATAGGAACGGGAACAAAATTTGAACAAAGCACCTACGTTTACAGCTTGGGGGATCGGACTGGGACCAGTGACGCCGAGGTACTCAGGCATCTCTGCCGAAGAAGTCGGGCTGCGTCGGCAGCCATGCTGATGCGGGTTGACCATTTAAGAGCAGCAGGTACGTGCCACGATACTTGAACTAGCGCGCATTAAAGCTGCATAGTTGTGTTGGCCTCCATGTCGAACAGGGGCAGTACGTAAATGTGTAACATGCTCCAGCAAAACTTCTGCCGCTGTGCACCAGAACAGCTGCGCCGATGAGTGTCAGATGAACATCGCATGCTGCAGCGGCCTGCCCAGCCAAACCCGACAGGAGCTGAGCCTATGCGGTCTGGCCGCAGCACGCGAAGCAGGAACAGGCGATGGAACCTCCAGCCGCGCATTGCCGTGCATGTGATGGCCTGGAAACGTCTCCAAGGACCACTGAGGACCGAGCGAAGAGAGCTCGCGGCAGGCTCGAGGCAAATCGGCAGCCTCAGACCAACAACCGCTCACAAAATAACAAAAACCCCCCAAAAAACATGCGGATGTGAAAGAAGTCGAAGTTCGAAATCAGCAAAAACCGTGAGCAGTAGAGTCAGTAGAGGAGAATGAGGAGAAACCAAAAACACGATCCATTTGGGTCAGCTCCAGGCCTCGGCACGCTCCTCCGCGAACCAGCGCTTCCAGCCAAGAGAGTCCTTTTCGAGAAGCAGCGGGAAAATATGCCCTTTCATGTACTCAACTACCCCTGCAATCTACCACGTTGCATGCACACTATCATTCTGGCTCGCCATGCGCGAGCTGGCTCAGGCTCAAGATGAGACGAAACCGCGCGTTCCTGCTCCAAGGTGCTTGTCAGGGCGTTGGAGCCTGGATCATGCTGTGGATCAGACTTCGATGCGAGATGACGATGCTGCATGCAGCATTACGTGAAACGAGCCCGCTACCAGTCTTGAACACGCTGATCTGCTCCAATGTCTTCAGCTGTGCCCACCTGAAGGGTTTCCCGGTACAGTTGACCAAAAACACCATGGTCAAAAGTCAAGACATCTCAGTCGAAGCTGAGCTCGTCGCTGGTGCTCTGTGAGCCAGCTGCGTGTCGTATCGGGCATGGGAGGTGCGAGGGGATCGACAGGAGCTCGTATCAGAACTGGCACGAACATTTCGCTTCATGCTCCTGACCTTACAGATTCTTACGGCCTATGCTCTCATCATGCCGCGCTCGCACCTGCACCCTTATTTTCGTTTAGCAAGAACTCCTCCTAGACATGCCTGGTAAGGCTGTCAAAGGACCTTCAAGAGGCGACCGGATCCCTTGATGCTCTCACTCTCCGATGCTTTCCGTGAGGGATGTCGGAGGCCTGTAAGGGCCTCTCATCTCAAGCATCGCACGGCGCACTGTTCAGCTCCTCCGGACGCACATCTCCAGACCGCACCAGGATCTTCAGTGCCAGCATCGAGGCCACCTGCACACAAAGGTCGAAGGCCCATTTCGTCACATTGTGAAATTCTCAGACAGGCAGAGGCAACTAGCTAGTGTGTGAGGTCCCGGCGGTGAGCTTGTCGGCATCCAGCAGACCACGGCCTTGCTGTGCACACGGACATGAAACATTCCTTTCAATTCGGGGCGCATGCGTCATGTGCAGTACATCAGCTTCTGTTGTGGGCGTCCCTGGGGGCCGTGCGCAAGTAAGCAAAGACGGCGACTGTCACCACACCCTTGAAGAAGGCACAAGTTTCGCAATGAAGGTGTCAATGATGACACGTCAAGCACCAACCTCCAACTGCTTGACGCGATTCGTGAGCTCCTGCCCTGCTAGCTCCACAATATCCTCTGAAGGCCAAGGGCGCTACAGCGCTGTCTGTGACAGTAGGCCAGACATGCACATCTCCTCTTCGTCCTCCTCATCCTCCGACCTTGCCAAAACTTCCGCACCGACGTCATCCTGGCTAGCCTGTGGCTTGGCAGGATCCTCACTGCAAGTAAAATTATTTACATCTATGTCATACTGCATCATCGTAACACCGCGCACCTGCTCCTGCAAGCCGTCGTCTTTCGCATCTCCTACGCAGAGCTGCACGACTTCTAAGCCCGCGACTGTTTCAGGATAAGTTCCTCTTATGCACGAACCAGTCCAGTCGGACAAGTGCAAAGGCTGTTCTGGGTCAAGTCTCCTTCCGCCGTGTCCGTGCTCTGTCTCCGCTTCTCCTTCGGCATGAGAAAGGGCACCAATGAAATCCGATGAGTAGCATACGAATGCAGTCAATCCATATGCCATATGGGCCACTGGCTTGTCTCTTTGACTGCCACGCTGGCAGGTGACGCTGCAAGTAGTACTTGATGGATCGCAATCGCTGTTCCAGCGGTGACCCACGAAGCTGGACAAGTATGTACATGCATGTGCTTTTGTTTTTGAAGTTTGCCATCACTGCTCAGGCCAACCGAAGATGGCAACAGATTCCTTGACCTCGGTGATGCTGCGGCAGCTCTACATGGCCCTGCATGTGCAAAGCAGAAAGGTTGCCGAGGACACAGCCCAGCTTAGAGAGCTGCTGGCCTCTCCGCTCTCAACGCCCCGCAGCGGCTAAACGAAGGTGCATGTGGATCTTTCTCACACTTGTAGGTTCAGGGTACTGATTAACCCAATGATAACTGTGCTGTAGACTGTACTTCTATCCCAATTAAAACCATGTCGGGGCACTTAAGGGGCTCTTAAGTAGGAAGTGAGTGCAGTCATAATTGGTTAATAAGTTAATAAGTACCATGAACCTCCAAGTATCCTACACTCCCGCAGCTTGCACCTGTGCTTCCGCAGACAAGGATGGCCTCGTGAGTAGGCAGGAGGGGAGGGGCTTCGGTGGCTTCACATTGACAGTGGCGAAGAGGCATTGCTCAGACGCTTACAGCGACATCTAGAATTTAGAAAGTATATGCTCTTCGCAGGTGTGCAAAAAGTCCCGGCTTGCCCTGTGTGAGCATGAGCCTTGGCCCCAATAGAAAGCAAGCGAGGGGTTGTTGACTTAGGCAAAGACTGGCGAAGCAAGCCCGTATGGATCTCCACCAGGTCCCAAGCCTGCCATGCCCCGCTGATTTACGAAACAGCTGTGCCCTTTACCCCAATGGCCATCTGCCCTGTGGAACAGAATGGACAGCTTGACTTGACTCCATCTCCGAGGTGCACCTCCGCCGGCGGACGCTGGTTGATGTGTCCCGGCCTCAGGGTGCGCAAGCGACCACAAGATGGCTGTTGTATCACGTATCACGTTGCAACGCAAAAGAGTGGTTACTGGCGGCACACTTAGCTCGTGCAACCTCCTCGGGCCACGGCCCGGGCACCCAAGGTGGAGCCCATGAAAGCACCAATGCCCGCTTCGTATGGAGACCTGAATTTTGGCTCGATGATCGCAATTGCATACAAGCTCGTCGATGCAAAAGGCGCATATCACAGATGGACAAGTGCAGGGCCAAGGTTCATGAGAGCCTGGTGCTCTGTGGCAGGCGAGATATGCTCCATGACCTGCACGGACGGGCTCGGGCTTCTCTCTCATGTGATGCTACTCAGCCGATGACATATGCCTCGAGACACAAAACGACATCACAGCCAACACCAGCAAGCTCCAACTTGTCGGCATCCAGACCTCTTGTGGTGATGGGGTGGATTTCAGAAGTGGCATCTGTTTTTGACTAGTACAGCACGTGGCCCACCCCGATTGGAAGGGAAGCTTGTCTCGGGTCGCCGCGCGCATACCGCACAGCACCGCTTGTAATCTCCTAATTCATCTGAGTCTGGCGAACTTCTATTTTCAAGAGAGTGGACCTAAGTGGACGGATGGGCCCAAAAGTGCCGAGATCCTCCACACCAGGTATCGCGTCGAATGCGAAGGCGCTCACGAGGCCAGTATCCTGCATGTCCAGCGCTATTTGTCGCTCAATTGAACTCAATTGCCTACTGTATGCCATGAAGTTGCTTAGCAACTGGCATGTGTATGGGAGATGATTAGCTAGAAAGCTCTTCGTGTCAATTGGAAGAGGCTTGTGCAAGCACTGGTCTCCAAGCGCCCGGCATTGAGCCATTCGGAGTAATGGCCACCAAATGCGCCCAAGTCGCACACGTTGTCGCCCTGTGCATGCGGACGCAAGCTT